TTTATAGATCCTACTTGAAACGTGGGAAAATCTATTTATAGATCCTACTGAAATGTTGGATAATCTATGTATAGATCATGCTGAAATGTTGTGATATAGTTTGTTTCATTTAGAAGTTTCCATAATGCTCTTTTCCTTTTGTCTGTTTTCTTTCTATCGGAAGTAATGTGCTATAAAAGTATGATGTCTGTTTCACTAACTCACACTTTTTTAGTTAAAATATTAGAAATTCCTCTAAATTGTCTCATGGTTAAAAATATATGTACTCAAATACGTAAAAATTGAAATATTTCTCATTCATTTTTTTATGGCTGTTGCTGTATAATATTAAACTTTGGGGGAAAAGAAAATCATTAATGCACTTGAAAACGTTTCAAAACATAAAAAGGAAAAAATTATAATCCTTCAACCTTTAAACCATCTCATCAAGCTTTCTATTTCAGGAATTAAACGGTTAATTATACAGAACAAATTATTGGAAGAAATTCTTGCTGCAGGCCTATTTTAAGGAACGACGAAAAACTGAAACATGGATTTGCAAGACAAAAAAATATATGTAAAAAAAATATTTTAAAATATAAATAAATATTTAAATATATAAATATAATAAAAATATGTTAGATAAATATTACAAAAATATTTAAGATAAAAATATAAAAAAATATTTAAGATAAATATTTTTAAATTATGTAAGATAAATATTTTTTTCATGAATTCCATTTATTTGAATTAATAAAAGTATCTTCAAATATCTTTTTTTTTTTAGTTTTTTTTTTTTTTTTTTTTTTTTTTTTTTTTTTTTTTTTTTTTTTTTTTTTTTGTTTTTTTTTTGTTTTTTTTTTTTAGCGTTGTAAGAACAAGAATTTATAGTGCAAATCGTACGTCAACGTATTCGGCGGCTCACCTGTAACTGAACTCCATATCAGACCTTGGTTGCAATGAAGGTGGCTTGTACGTATGGGGGGGGGAGCAGGTTAGGCGTGTGGTAGTGTGTGATAGGGCTATGTAGGAAGGGCAGGGCAAAGGAGAGCAGTGGCGTAGCTAAGGGTTAGTAGCCAATCCGGATTCGGGCCAAGAATTTTTTTCCGCCCAAATTTTTCCACACACAAAAACACACAATGCAGTTAGCTGAAAAATTCTGGCCGTTCCGATAACGAAAAAAGTACCGCCATGGGTGGATCGCCCACCACCGCACCAAAACCCCCGAAGGAAAATGGGGGGGGGGCTGTTTTGAGGTTAAACTATCAAAATAATTTGGAAATGTATAAAATACTAAAATACCTTTTCTTGCCTTCATTTACGAGAATCAAACAAATACGTTAGCTTTAACAGTCGCGGACTTGTAGTTCATTTGTGAATAATAAAATAATTCTCCCAGTATTACATCTTCTAGTATTACATTTCCCAGGATTACATCTCCTAGTGTTAGATCTCCCAGGATCACGTCTCCTAGTGTTAGATCTCCCAGGATCACATCTCCTAGTGTTAGATCTCCCAGGATCACATCTCCTAGTGTTAGATCTCCCAGGATCACGTCTCCTAGTGTTAGATCTCCCAGGATCACGTCTCCTAGTGTTAGATCTCCCATGATCACGTCTCCTAGTGTTAGATCTCCCAGGATCACGTCTCCTAGTGTTAGATCTCCCAGGATCACGTCTCCTAGTGTTAGATCTCTATTAAATTTTAATACTTTAACGTCCATACGCTGCAGCATATTTATTTTTGTAAACTTAACAATGTTACTTCTATGGGGAAACATGCACCCGCGCAGTGATACAAAGTTAGTTAACTAACTCAGTCGAGAGTTTAAATTCCACTCGCATTTAATCAAATTAGATACCGACTGAATTTCGGCTTCGGTTTCGGCGCCGACAGTTGCCATTTGATCACTTTCGGCCTAATTTCGGTTTCAGCCGAAACCAAAAAGTTAAATTTCGGTTTAATTTCTGCTTCGGTCGAAACTGAAATTTTAACTTTCGGTTTGATTTCGGTTTCGGCCAAAAGTGATTGGGGTTTTTCGGTCATGTGCCAGAGGTCAGACTGTCTGTCTGTCTCTAGGCTGATATTCATTATTGCTCGACGTCTAGCTGTCGTCGTGTGTTATATGACTTATACTCTACGAAAACTGTTCACAGCTGCATGATGACCTACTTGTCCTTTATTTCCAAAAAATTAAATTCTATTTAGGCCTCGGCAAATGTAAACAGTTTTGTGGAAGAAAAGCTAGAGGGATGGTAATAGTTTATATCATTATTTTTGTTTTAATGTTTTCAAAAATAAAATTTGGAAACCTAAATTTATTCAATTTCTTTATTTGTGATAGTAAATTTTGATTCATCATTATCATGCTCACCAATGTGGTCATAGGCAAAGCTGAATAATATTTCATAATCCTAGGAAATGATAATATTTCGCTATTATTTTTGTATATTTTTTATTTTAGGAAACCTAGGCTTTTTCAATTCATTTATTTCTTGAAATTCATCATTATCATGTCCATAAACATTGTTATTGACGAAATAACAAGTGTGTGCATGTATCACTGGCCTGTATTATAAATATGTAGTAGGCCTACTGTAGACCATTTTACTTGTATGGTGTGGCGATCAATTTAGATGTCTTTTGAGACTCTCCGTCGAGACCCGTCAGAAGAACTATTTTAAGAGACCCGTTTTAAAAAAATAATTCCCCCCTCCCAAACAAAGCCAGGTGAGGGAAGTTGGTCACCGAACGAAATAATTACGTCACCAGCACGGTAAGACTAATGTGTTGGTACTAGGCTAAATATTACTACAGGGATATCTTGCCAGCTAATTATGAAAACACAAAGCATAAGTATGACATAAAATTACTTTTAAAATTGAAATATTAAAAGCCAAAGTATTTATTTAATGTTTATTTATTAATATTCACGATGATCTCATTTTATAAAAAAAAATGTAAATAATGGTACTTTCCCTCATCATTTTATTTTATGTTTGTAGAATGTATGCGTGGACGAATTTCAAAATACTTAAATATTTCAGTTTCGGGTTTCGGCCAAAACCATAAAGATAAATTTCAGTTTAATTTCGGCTTCGGTCGAAACTGAAATGTTAACTTTCGGTTTAATTTCGGTTTCGGCCGAAATTCATTTTTAAATTTCGGCCTGGTTTCGGTTTCGGCCAAAATCAGAAAATCACTTTCGGTTGATCTCTAACTCAAATATACCTTCATACACTCCCATATACTCCGATACATGACATTTCTGTAATGGTCTCATACATACAAAAGGCGTATGTTGATTTATGTGGTGTATGGTTGTTGTTGTTGTTTTTATTTCTGGGTTCAGTGAACATTTTTACCCCAAGACATCTTCTTTTTAACTTATTTTCAAAAACATGAAGAAAAAAAAATAATAATAAATCTGTTGTGAAAATATGCCAGAAACTAAAGCAATCTGTCATGGACCTGTGACACACATGAGGAACGAACTCATTAAACGAGATCCACACCCACTCTTTCCCTCCGTCCCAACTATCACCGAAAATAACCGCAAGAATAGTTTGTTCTATAAAAAAATGTGTAACTGTTACAACTGCGGCGGCGTCTGTGTACATACAGCGATACCACGGTTTCGAACGAACAGATCAAAGTTAATCAATGTAAAAGCTGTTGTTGTTGTTTGTTTTTTGTTTGTTTTTTTTGTTTTTTTAAACTGGTATTGGCGCATCTGGCGTTAACTTGAAAACGTAAGTGCCCCCACCTGTTGAATGTTGGGCTTCAGTGTACAAAGGTTTGAGCTGCCTGGGATACGGTGTGTGTGTGTGGGGGGGGGGGGTTAATAGGACTTGGAGACGTGCACACTACACAGAACGGAACAACATATAATGGCGGTGAAACATATAATTTATGTGACCTCTGAGCAGTTTTCCCCAGGGCCCCGTGCTGTCATGATGTTCAGGAGAGATTTCTTGGTAGGTACGGCCGGTAAATAGCTCCATTGCATGCTTAAAAGCCAAACGGCCTAAATCAATGGTTTTGTAAGTAGCCTTCTTGTCGAGGCAAGGCCAATAAAACTCATAAACAAACTTTAATCAAACCAACAAAACGAAATAACAATTCTAATAATAAAATCTTTAATAGTAATATTAATAATAAAAGCAACAATAATGATAATAATGATGATAATAAGGGTAATAATAACGATAATAATTTTGAGATTAATAATGATAACGATGATAATAATAATAATAAAATAATTATAAATATGATACTGATAATAATGATAGCAAAATGATTATGATAATAATAATTATTATAATGTTGTTAATAATAATAAGAAGAATAAGAATAAGAATAATTATAGTAAAACAATAATAATGATATTAACAGATGTTAAGAGACACTCGCTGCAATTTGTTTTAATGTGTTGAAACTATGATAGGCCTGCTATTTAAACAGTTGTGTCCTGGCTATAATTCAACAAATTATAATGGTTACGCATTGAATACAAACGTTTAAGTTTAAGCAAAACATCATCAACTCAAATCCGTTTATTCACACTAATTAGATGTCGTCAATATAATGTTTTCTGTTGTTTTTGGTTTTTTTACAAATTCTTCAGAAAGATATAAATCTACGAAGAATTTTTTTTCCTGCCAGACCTGACTGTGAAAAAATAAAAAAAAATAAAAGACAATTATATTAATTCAGTGACGTAGCTGGAAATTTTTTTTTTTTTTTTTTTTTTTTCTTTTTGAAAAGGGATATTTTAGAGCTAATTTTTAAAATTAATATTGGGGGGAGGGGGCAGGTGGTGCTTCCAAAAGTTATAGCTGTTCATTATATTTGTAAGGCTTGAATGATAAAACAAGACCAGAGGTGATATTTAAACACGCCCCCCGGGGCCCCTTGACTACGCCCCTGAAACAACCCATCCCCATTTTCACCTCATTATCACCCCCACCCCCCAACAGGACAAGCGAGCCACTAAGTGCTGTTGTTTTAATGTCCGCTCCCGACACACGAGACAAGATGATATATATGTAATATATATGTCACCTTTAGAAAGGTCTGAAGGTGTGCTGCTGCTACAAGGGGAGGTATATTTCTGAGTCGAGACGAAAATGAACTTTGTGAAATCTACCAGGTGGTTTGTGACTTTTACACTCATCGGTCTGTTTGGTGAGTTAAAAAAATTTCTCACTGATTTTGTGACGTTTGTGGCAAATGCATTTGTTGAAAAGAAGTGAATTGCTTGCGTTTTCCTCGGGCATCTGAAAGATTTATCACGACTTTTGCGTATGACACCATTCAGAGACAGAACAATAGTACGGTAGACGAGTTGCGTAGCTAGGGTTTGTGTCACCAGGTGCGTCAGATTGAACTCTTTGAACAGATTTTATTGTGATGTGACAGTTAGATTGAACTCTTTGAACAGATTTTATTGTGATGTGACATTTAGATTGAACTCTTTGAACAGATGTTATTGTTATGTGACAGTGAGATTGAACTCTTTGGACAGATGTTATTGTGAGTGACAGTTAGATTTAACTCTTTTAACAGATGTTATTGTAAGTGACAGTTAGATTGAACTCTTTTAACAGATGTTATTTTGATGTGACAGTTAGATTGAACTCTTTGAACAGATTTTATTGTGATGTGACAGTAAGATTGAACTCTTTGAACAGATGTTATTGTGTGCTGGTACAGCTAGATTGAACTCTTTGAACAGATGTTATTGTGATGTGACAGTTAGATTGAACTCTTTGAACAGATGTTATTGTGATGTGACAGTTAGATTGAACTCTTTGAACAGATGTTATTGGGATGTGACAGTCAGATTGAACTCTTTGAACAGATGTTATTGTGATGTGACAGTTAGATTGAACTCTTTGAACAGATTTTATTGTGATGTGACAGTTATATTGAACTCTTTGAACAGATGTTATTGTGAGTTACAGTTAGATTGAACTCTTTCAACAGATGTTATTGGTATGTGACAGTTACATTGACCTCTTTGAACAGATGTTATGGGGATGTCACAGTCAGATTGAACTCTTTGAACAGATGTTATTGGGATGTGACAGTCAGATTGAACTCTTTGAACAGATGTTATTGGGATGTGACAGTTAGATTGGATTATTTGAACAGATGTTTTGTGATGTGACAGTTAGATTGAACTCTTTGAACAGATTTTATTGTGATGTGACAGTTAGATTGGATTATTTGAACAGCTATCGGGATCAGACAGTTAGATTGAACTCTTTTAACAGATGTTATTGTGATGTGACAGTTAGATTGAACTCTTTGAACAGATGTTATTGTGATGTGACAGTTAGATTGAACTCTTTGAACAGATGTTATTGTGATGTGACAGTTAGATTGAACTCTTGGAACAGATGTTATTGTGTGATGTGACAGTTAGAGTGAACTCTTTGAACAGATGTTATTGGGATGTGACAGTCAGATTTAACTCTTTGAACAGATGTTATTGGGATGTGACAGTCAGATTTAACTCTTTGAACAGATGTTAATGGGATGTGACAGACAGATTGAACTCTTTGAACAGATGTTATTGGGATGTGACAGTCAGATTGAACTCTTTGAACAGATGTTATTGGGATGTGACAGTCAGATTGAACTCTTTGAACAGAAGACAAAAATGTCAACACGATCACAAAGTGTTTATTTCTTTTGTTGAAATTCAGTTTTCAACCTCGATGTAAAAAGGACACTGGTCTAGTCATTGATTAATTCAAGTGTGTTTTCATTTGTTCCAGGTCACACTGGCCTCGTTGAGTCGGGACCACTTGATGGTAAGTTGTAGCTTAAGGTTATGTTAAATAATTAATTTGAAGCTTATTTTTACAATTCTTCTAAAACACACTCAACCAAAATACCCCCCCCCCCAATCTTTGTTTTCTTCCAAATTCAAATTCAATCCATTTTCTTCCTCTAATTTACAAAGTAAAAGTAAACAATCCATCAGTTCATCTGTGTGGTGCGGCCTCAGTAGAACAGTGTTGGTACATTTGTAGCACTCTCTAACCCTCTTTGAGTGAGCACGTGGTGTTTGGGTGACCAATAAACGACTGGTCAGTTTGAGTGCACTAAACTAGAAATAGCCCGCCAGACAGTGGCAGCGGAATTGCGTGAACTTCCTAACCTACAAAAAGTAACTTGACGAAACATGCGTTCAAGGGGGAGAATAAGTTAAAAAAGCATAGCCCAAAACTTTAGAAGAATCCAAACTGATGCGAACTTCTGGGAATTATATTTTGAGCGCCTATTGAGCACAGCGTAACAGCCATAGATACGTACCAGAAGAAGTATTAGTTTATGATACTTTTCTGTTGTTGTTGTTTTATGGGCATTTGATTAGACTCACGGCTCTGAGTTAAACAGGGATTTTATTTTATTTACTGTGTGTATTTAACTTGTCAGCCATTTGGTGATATGTTTGATTGACTCATCAAGAACAGCTGCTTACAATGCGAAGCTGAAATGAGTATACAGAGGTGTTTTCTAATTTTTTTTATTTTTTTTTTAAAAAGGGGTGAGGGTGGCTTTAAGTTAAGTTGATCTTCTACTAACCCAGTGGTTCTCAACCTTCCTAATGCTGTGACCGTTTAATACAGTTCCTCATGTTGTGGCGACCCCCAACCATAAAACTTATTTCGTTGCTCATTCATAAACATGCCGTGTTTTCCGATGGTGTCAAATGACCGGTGTCAATTAAATTTTAGCATCGAATTTCTGAAAGAAACACTGGTTGTCACTTGACCTCAGAGCCATCGTGTGGGCACAGCAACCCTTACAGGGGGCGGGGGGGGGGGTGGTTAGGGAGTGGATGAAATATTTTAAGAGCTTTAAGTTGTGTTGTGGACACGTGTTTACTTGTCAACTTTCAAGGTGTGTGAGGATGTAACGAAGACGTTGCACGAGGACTTGAAAGGTGAAGTGTCTCTGCTTTACCTGCATGTGCTATCATGCAATGGTTTTTTTATATATCTATAACTAAATAGTATTGTAGCTTTTATTTTAAGTATTGTGAGGGGTTAACTACTCAATGAAGGAATTTTCAACAAACCAAACCAAAAAGAAATAAACCTTCCAAAACGATTTCCATCACATAAAAGCATTGCTGACATTTCACATGTTGAGCGCAAACCATTGCTGACATTTCACATGTTGAGCGCAAACCATTGCTAACTTTTCACATGTTAAGCGCACATTTAAAAAAAAAAAAACCACTACTTATAATAATTACCTTATCTAAACATTTCCAACTATTAACAGAGCCAAAAAGAAAACAAAAACTCTTTTATAGAAAGTTCCAAACATTTTTTATGGGCTTTCTTCCAAACGGGTCATTTTTACAAGTCTCTTCTAAAAAAAAAGAATTTCTAATAAAATGTATGGGTTGATTTTTTTAAATTATTTTAATATTAAAATGAGAAAATCAGTTGGGGATTAAATAAATATGGGCTAAGTATTTTTTTTCATTTTTTTATTAACTCTACTATTGTCCAGGAAACGTGGCTACGAAAGTAGCACATTTAAAGCAGATATAAATGCTTTCGACTTAATGATAATTGATTAAACGTACTATTTGTATGCACCCGTTAAATTCTTAATTTTTTTTTTTAAATATATATATATATATATCCATTTTTTACATTTACATGTCATCTAGCTTAACATACACGCAACCGAGTACATTTAAAAATATGCTAATGTCAATTTTTTTTTAATTATGATATTGTGATAAAATTTATAATGAACACTTGTCTTTTCTTTAAAAACCATGCCTTTATTATGAAATTATATCATTTGAAAACAAGCTGCACATATTTGATACTTAGCAATAACTATAATAAAAAAAATATAGCCCTTGATGATGATGTTAAGGTAGTTAAATACCGTGTTATTAAAGTCTCAGAATCGGGCTCGGCCAAATTTCGAAACAGTACGATATTTAATAATCGAATAGTGTAAGTCTCTAACTCAACAAGATTAGATTTAAATATACGGATACGTCAAATATATCGAGCGTATCGATATTTTCATAGATTCCTCTAACTGTAATCGGTTCACGGCACCAGTTACTTTAATATTTATAAATAACAATTTAGTCGTTTTTATTAAAAATAGACAGTTTCGTGGGAGGGGGGGGGGGGCAAAACTTATGACCCACCACTGGTGGTAATCCCGCTACTGGTGGTACTCCCCCTAGCTATAGCACTGTGCACCACTGTTAATTTGTTTTGTTTTTTTTAAAAAAAAAAGGGCGTGGGGGGGGGGGGGGGGGGGGGCAAAACTTATGACCCACCACTGGTGGTAATCCCGCTACTGGTGGTACTCACCCTAGCTATAGCACTGTGCACCACTGTTAATTTGTTTGATACCTGACTTATCAAATTGAATTTTTTTTAATATAATCTTTGCTTACATAGTGTTTGTCAAATGTCCTGTATAAAATATAATTTTAATGCAGAATAACGTGTTTTTTACAAATTATTTCAGTGACAGTTCCTGAGGTGGCTCCTGTAGTAAGCATTGGCAACTCAACCGTTCCAAACGAGGGCACCCATTCGCTGACCTTACCGGATAGAACTCTCAACACGACCATCTACCTCAAGTGTAAGGTGCCTGGGGGCAGACTTCCGGTCTCCAACGTCACCTTGTCCTGCGATTTTGGCCGAGGTGCCAGAAACAAGACAGTCCAGGGCAATTCGGCCACCTTCGGCCTCAAGCTCTACGGCACGGGGTCCGCCAACTGCAGCTGTACGGCCGGACATGCCAGTGGGCTCTACCACAAAGTAACTAAGTTTGCATTGAACTACACAGGTACGCAGGAGGGTCTGTGTGGGGCATCACATTTTAAAACCAAACAGAAGAAAAAAGAAACATTGCCGCTATGTAAAATTGTTGATTAGGCTTATACCGTATAGAGTCAACGTACCAAATTTTTTATTTAACATATTTTCCATTCAAACTCTGTCCGGTGTATTATTTACATACAATATACCAGTAAATGCAAATTCCAGTATTCCATTATGGTTAACGCTACTGAAATGTTTAGAAACTGGACAAAGTGGTTGTTTGTTGATGCTGTACAGATGTTCTCTAAAACGGTCTCCGAGGCGACGAAGCGTCTCTCCTACGTATGATTTTCCGCCATTTTTGCCATGGATGGTGTTAATCACATGACGACTTGTGTACGTATAACCATCTTTGATACTGATTATTGCCAGAGGGAAAGTGATCTTCTAAACTGAAATCATGAAGGGACATGTGTTACAGTTGCTTCGGTTGAAAATTTGTGTGACAATATTATGTGCTTTAAATAGCAGTGAGGTGGTTTCTGTCAAGCATGTCACTAAGGCTCTTGTCCGTCCGGAGATCGAAGTCGCAGAGGTTCCCAAATAAAAACTTATAAATGAACCCCAAACACACACCACGTGATCATCTTGAAGTGCAATGATTATAAAAATTATCATCTTTTTTATCATTAATCCCTCTGCCTTAACATTTTGCAGCGGTCCCCTATCCACCGGAGGCGGCCCCTCTTGTCAAGGTCGGCAGCCTCGTCCTTGCGGACAAAGACACCTTGACGTTGAAATTAAACGCTACTTCCGCCAAGGTGTCCGTGGTGTGCAGCGTGCCAGGGGGCTACCCGCGGGTCAGCAATGTCACGCTGACCTGCGGGGCCAAGAAGGCGACCATCGGCCGGTCGCAGGCGGCCTTCACCGTCACGTACCGGAAGGAGATGAGCGGGAAGTCCTGCGCGTGCGGGGGTGATCACGTGACAGGCAACTACAACAGGACGTCATCGTTCATCCTAAGCGTTCAGTGTAAGTCGCCTACTCGGCCATTGTGTAGTTTAGAGGGCTTACAAAAGAAGGGGTCTATTCTAGCTATGCATCGTAAGGTTTGTAAATCAACTTGCTTTTAACTAAGATCTTTAGATGCCTCTTGGTCATTAGTCTTGGGCCGTTTATAAACGAATTCACGGGGCTGGGGTGGGGGCGGAGGGTCCACAAAATCTGTGTGATTCGAGTGTTTAGGTCTAGGCTGTGTAATATAGATTGGTGATGATTTATTTAATTTGTATTTTCATTTTTTTTTTGTTGGGGGGTGGGGGAGGGAGTTATTTTGGTAAATAGCGTGACGTCATTTATTGATAGAACTTTTTAAAAAATAAATTAAATGGTAATGATTTTATTGAATTACTAATGCACGTTGAGGTATTACATTTTGTGGACAAATTTTTTGTAATGTATATCTCTACTTCTGTTTCGCGACAATCTAAAACAAAGTAAATTTGATATTCAGCTCATATAGCATTAACATGTAATTGATTTAATCAAATTAGGTCGATCCTCTATTGACCTATTGCGGGTGACCATTTCGTTTCGCATTCGCATCTGGGGTTTAACAAAAAAATTCGATAGTGAACACATCGCAGCAAAGATAGGATTTTGGGTCGCATATCAAACCATAGCTTTCATCGTGACACAATATTTCCCTCATGTCTTGATTTGAGCACTCGGTGAGATTTTGAAAGCTGAATTCTAGGATTAATTATTGCTTTCCTTTTCTTATTATGTTGCTTTTGTATAATATTGAATAAGATAATCTGAATATAATCATTCATCCTTCCACTGTTTTCTAATACACGCCGATTTGAAACTAATTCTCCCTAATTCTTATCTCTGTCTCTCTCTTTCTCTCTCTTTCTCTCTCTTTCTCTTTCACTTCTATCCATCCATCCATCTAATCATCCAATCCATAAATCTATCCCATCAAATCCAGCACATCCAATCCATGCATAATGAGTTTAGTCAGGCTAGTGATGTTTAATCCATGTTGACCTTAAAGAAAGGCCTACTGGTTGTACGGTAAGAAATGAGATGTGCTTGTAATCAAAAAAAGAATTTTTATAGTGAATTATTATTTTTTCACTAACAGGACATTGTAAACAATCCTAACAATGGAACTCGCACAAAAGAAAGACAACCTAAATAGCTACCGCCCCTCGAAGTGAAAGCGAACGAAATGACGTCATTCATTCTGCTGCAGATTTGGCGCCATTTTTATAGCGCGACCTTTTTATTTTATTTAAATCTCTTTTTTTTTTTTTTTTTTTTTTAATTATTTTTTTTTCTTTTTTTTTGGGGGGGGGGGGCGGTGGGACTTTTTCACCTTCAGTAAATAAAGGAATACAGTTTAACTGCAAGAATATATTTTTTTTATTTTTTTTTAAATACCCGATAATTGCGTGGAGATCTGTAATTCTTTTTTTTTTAAATGTGCTTACAACCCTTTAATCATTTTTTATGAAATGTTAATAAAATTGCTCAAGTGAATATTATATTAAATAGCACAGGAATGTTAACTGACACCAGTCTTCACTGACTTTCTTTCAATTGTCATCTTAATTTTCTATGGAAGAAAGAGAGAATTGGTGCTGATATTGTAAAAGACTAAATAAAGACTGCATATCTTTGAGACCGTCCATAAAGTATGTCACGCTCCAGAGGGGGGAGGGGGTGTAAGAAAGTGTGACAGCTTGTGACAGGGGGAAGTGGGGGGTGGGGGTCAGGCCATGTTTGACGTCACACTTTATTTTTTTTTTTTATTTTATTTCTTATTTTTTTTTTTTTTTTTTTAGTAGAATTTAATAGGTTTAAAAATAGTTTTTTTAAAAATTGTGTGTAATATTTGTCAAAATAGCATGGAATGCGTATCTCCTGAATGTGTTGTTCACGATTCCTCTCGCTAGGAGCGCTAGTATACTTTTGCGAAGTCTTATTTTATGTATAGCCTTGCCGAGATCAACAGGAGTTTTCAAAGTACAACTATATGATCTTTACTGTCCATCTTTGCAGACCAACTTACGTGATCGAATTTGCTAAGTATGTCACTTATACTTTGCCTCACAAACAATGTCAAAGAAACATGCCGGACAACACTGAGCTCGGGCTCGGGAGAATGTGCCAGCCCAAACTGTTACAAAATCAACTCAGATGAAACGCATCAGTCCTTTGAGAATCGCTGCTAGAAGGCGAAGAGAACTCATGGCAGTTATTGCCAGAAGAGAAAGTGCACATTCAGAGGATGTTGAGTGGCTAGATGAGGATGTTGAGTGGCTAGATGAGGATGTTGAGTGGCTAGATGAGGATGTTGAGTGGCTAGATGAGGATGTTGAGTGGCTAGATGAGGATGTTGAGTGGCTAGATGAGGATGTTGAGTGGCTAGATGAGGATGTTGAGTGGCTAGATGAGGATGTTGAGTGGCTAGATGAGGAGGAAGTGGATCTGTCTGCAATTATCCTTCCAGGAAACGATGGTGGTGAAAGATTGATGCCAGTCGTAACTATGAAAGAACACTTCACCATGGATGGATGATGCCCAGTGAATATTTTTGAAATTAAACATAATTCACAGGCCCATAATAAACAGATTCAATATAGGACAAGAGTTTGTCACATAATTTGTCAATCTAGTCTTTTTTAAGTCAAATTGTTTTGTTTCCTTTTTATTATTTAACCAAACGGTGAGGTCAAGTTTAGCTTATTTACTTGTCATCCTGTGTAAAAAGATAGCACATTCGGAAATTATCTAAAACTTGACCTCACCTTTTTTAAATGAAAAAGAAGCAGATAAATGCTGTGTATTATATAAATGTCTAGTCTAATTTTTGCAATTTTTTTTTCAAATTCAATCTAGATTGAGTTACTGCTTCAATGAATAACTGTGACAACTGTTGACAGTTAACTATTCTACTATTAGAATAATCTTAATAATGTTATAGTTCTTTTAAGCTGAAATTTTTATATTAAATTTTAATTAGTTGTTAATTTAAAACATTTTTTGTTCGAAAGTGTGACGTACTTTAGGGTGGGGGGGGGGCTGTCCAAGATTTGTGACAGTTTGTGACGGGGGGGGTGCTAAAAATGTTTTGTTTTTTTTAAAAGCGTGACGTACTTTATGGACGGGCCCCCTCGGATCATTCTAATACATAGAAATATAAATAAAAAGAAAACGCTTTTTTTTTCTTCTTTTTTTTTAAACTAATGAATTTACATTGGTGTAAGAAGAATTATATTTCAACCGTTCGTGCTGCAGCCCCCTTGGGGCTTACATGGCTTACAGGGCTTACAGGCCCCCATTGCTAAATAAGGTTAAGTTTTCATTTATTAATAACTATAACAATAAGAAGAAAAGAAGAAAACAGAGTAGACATATGAAATATATTTTATTCAAATACACTAAAGGGCCTAGGGCTCTGTGCACACGACTGGGGGTGATCATTCAGCGTCATAATATGTAGAAAGCGGGTGTGGGTGGGAGCGTGGAGGAGTGGGGGCTTGTTCTTGTTGGCAAGGAAGTAAAATGTTACGTGGGGACAGTGGAAAAAAAAAGGGGGGGGGGAGAGAGAGAATGCGCAAACATAAAAACTGAAATGAAGAGATAGATAGCGACGAGTCACGCCCTCCGAACGACAAGCAAGTGACGCATATGAATCAAGGACGCCATGCGCTGTATCAGAGAAGGAGGTTTTGAGCGGGGAAACCATGGCGCTGTACAGAAGTGTGTGTGTGTG